CTCCCGCCCCGCCCCCAGCCCCACGTACCCGCGAAGGGGAAGGGGTCCGTCCGCACCAAGTCGCGAGATAAAGACCTCACGAGTGTTTTCATTGGGAATCTGATCTCAACTACTTCCGCGGCCATCCGTACCCCACCCCCCATACGTCCTTATGGGGCCATCTTCCACCCGGCGCCCCCTCCCTCTTGCTTGCACGCGACCCCACGTGAGGCACATTGACGCAGTCTCGCTATCGGCTGTTTCGCGGAACTTCCGATGTGTGTATTGCTTATTGCTTCGGTCGATGGCTCACGTCCCTTAGTGAAGCGGGAAGTACGAGGCAAAGAGGAAAGGCAGGAGGCGTGTGAGGTTTCAGTTTCAGGTCGCTATCCCGCGCATTACCCCCCCCCCCCCCATAAAACACAGTACGCGGGGTCACGTGCAGAAAGTATTGAAGGGCCCGACCCCAGCTGGTCCGATTGACGAGTCGGAGGGAGGCAATAGAGCAAGAAACAGCTGCTAGCGTCGTCAAGTTGGAACTGAAATCACAGCCCATCTCAAATGTCTGCATGCGCCACGCTGCGCCCTCCGAGCCACGCCGGGCGCGGGGCGGGGCGGGGTTCGGGGACGTTGGCGGGTCGCCTCGGGACCGTTTGAACTTTGCCCACTGATAGCAGGGCGGCGGGGCTAAGCGGGGTGGCGGGACGTCCCCGTCCTCGCGCGGCGGGTGGAAGTGGACGGCGTCCGGCGGGCGAACCGTAAGTTTGAGGTGGCGCGGGTCGTCGCTCACGGTGGCGTCACGACGCTCAATAAAGTGCAACACGTTGTGAGGGGGGAAGGGCGCGTCCCATCCGACCCCAAGCAGCGGCCGTGAGCACTCCTGTCCGTCAACATCTGTTTTCCCCGTCTGAATGACGAGTCCCGCCCCGTCGCGCCCAGCTGTCCGATTCATTCATTGGGCCAGGACCACGCCGCCCGCCGCCACGGCACGATGCACTACTAGGCCCCGCCACGACGCCGCCGCCGCCGCCTGAACGCTGCTACTGCTCCCTCCCCACTTGAGGACTCTCGTGTGTCGAAGCGTGACAGGGCGAAGGAGGAGGAAACGGAGCACTCGTCCGTCCGTCTCGCGTCACTGGTACTGGTAGCGTCGGCGCCTGCCTCCAGGCCGGGCGGGCG